GCTATGTTGGATGAGGATTTATTGTCGACCTTGACAGGGATTATGGGTATGAAGGTATTGGTGATCTGGACGTCCATTCTCCTGGTTATGTCTCCTATCAGGGCGATGAGGGCCAGGTTCTCCTCGTGAGTCAGGAAGCCTGTTAGGTCTGTCTTGGCTCGGCGAGGCGGGAAAGGGCGCCTGCCGCCCCGGGATGTGTTGTTGACCATGTCGATTGTGCTGTTCTTCCGAGCAGTTCGGTCGATATCTTGGCTCGAAGAACGAGAAGGGGCTCAAGTAGGGAATGCCAACACCTTGAGCTGGTTCTGATGTTGACTGGCAGAGAGACAGGACTAGGTAGACAGGCACGCTGTTGCAGAGCTTGTAGTGGTACGTCTTGACAGTCTTGGTGTTGAGGTTGTTGGAAAGAGCCAGGTTATTGAGATCCTGACCGTAGGAGTGGCCAAGGCCGAGGCTGCAGTGATTTCGAGTACTTTTGGGAGGGTTTTAAAGATGAAGGTAATGCGGAAAGGTGAGGTGGTAGGTGAAGCTTCAGGTACACTTGACCGTGTGCAGCCTGTTGCTGTTTCTGTTACTCGTACTTCTCGTGCTTCTGCGTTGCGCAAAGGTTCTTTGAGAGGCATCAACCGACCTGAGTCGTCAGGGCGACATGGTCAGGCACATATGGACCAAGCTGTGCAAGATATTGGTCGACGTGGTGGCAGGGAACCCGGTTGCACTGGGCTGTCAACGGGACCCGCGCTGAGACCTGACGCAGTGAATGAGGACTTCCGTTTGGCTTTGATCTCTTTGAACTGAGGTAGGCACAACCGGATTCGTAGAGAACCCTCGCAATGGTGGTGAACGCTTAGCCCGTGATCCAAGTCACCAGAGGAATCATCACAAGACGAACACCGACAGTGGCAGGCGTGACGATCAGTGGAAGGAAGTTGGGGTCAAGTCTGTTCGCGCCAGCAATGTTTGTACCTTCCTCACTTCCCGTTCAACAGGCACGTCAGGCAGGTACTTCCTTCATCTAGGGCAGGACTTGACGGGAAGTTGCAACTCGCGAGACACAAGCCCCTTTGATGTCGCCCACAATTTACAGCATCTTCTTCTTCCCCCAACCCCAGAAGCTTCCACTTGTGTGACTCCAGCACAGCAGTGTGTATCCATTCAGTATTTCAGGTTGATCTGATGTCCGATTGTGATTCCTTGGTTTTAAATTCCTATTCGTGGACTTTGATTTTGGCAGCCATGGGTTTGCTGGCCTCAGACGGCTCGTCACATTCGCTTATGCACGATCATGGCCCCTGATCTTGTCCCAGCCGTCTGGTTCGGCAGTATGTTGAGACTGTTCTTTGTTGATGATTTTCTTTTTTTTGCACAGTTTCCTAACACGGCTGAGATTCTGGCATAGTCTCTTTCCTGTTAGGATGGTTGATAGCTGCCTTTCTTGTTGATCATTCTGCAACCGAACTCACATGGAGCTGCAGTTCAGGGGCAATGCCTTTGTCCTTCCCCCGCATTTTCCATGTCTCAACGTTCCTGAAGCGCATCCTCTGCTACAGTGTTTGATTATATTCCCACCAAACCAAGCAGCAAAGGAGTCTATGCCCTGTCACAAGTCCGATTTTATGAACAATCTTCTAACCAATCGTCACCAGATTCTTAGTATAAGGTACGTCAGCGGCAGAAACGTGGCTGCCAACGGCATGCCTACTATTTGAAGATGAGGCAGCTGGTATCTCCAAGCACATAGTGTAACAGCCATGCTGACCATGTCATTAGCATACGTGTATCGCCCTCGCAGAGCTATGATCCCCTTCGGCATCCTTAATCTTCCATCTCATGATAACGAGCATGCGCTGAAGCCGCAAATGGAGGTATCCTGTGCCCACAGTGCTGGCATCGCTCTGCGTCGCCATGCTCCCAAGATGCTTCTCCGTCTGTGTGGTCTTCCTCGCTATCGTTCACTAGCTCCTGGGTCAACCCCTCATCCACGCGATTCTCGGTCTCGTCCTCTATTATGGTCGTGTCAAGCTTCCACTGACGCAATACGTCGTCCTGCTTCCGGAACATGGCCGAAATATCCCTCCCTACGCCCGAGCCCGTTTCACTGCCACTCTCCACCATGTTGGCAACGCAAATATTGATCAATTGGAGGTTCCATTTGAAGCTCTTTTCAGGGTGGAACTTCAAGAGCATGGGAAACAGTGTCTCCGTCGCCAGCCGGTCTGCGATGAACTCGATAGGGAGTTGTAGGTTGAAGACAAAGTTGGGCATGGGCTGAGATTTGGACGACCGGCTGAAGTTCCAGTCTTCCCTCTCACCCTCGACAGGCCACAGACGGATTGACAGGCGAAGCGTCCTGGGATGTGCCATCCATCTCTGGCTTTGGCCTTCAAGGGTGTTTTGGTCCACAGTAGAACTCTGTGTTGATGCATCATTCACCGTCGTAAGATCAACCCGCATCCTCCTCAGCAACGATATCGCGAGCTTTTTGAGCTCCTGCTCAATCTTAACTAACGAATCCAACTGCCTGTACGTATCCTCGATGCTTATTTGGGAAGGCACGTCTCTGGCATCTTTAACCTCGGTATAATCGACACCATGAAGCAGGTTCCAGATGCGAACGCCTATACCCTGCTCCGATCCCGGGCCACTTAGTAGCATCTCGAGTGTCTCGGGGTACATATCCGGATGAAGACGAACTTGTTGCGCCGACAGTGCAGACTCGGTCTCGTATGAGTCGATCTCTTTGTGAGCATTCAGTAGCCTCTTCTCCAAGAGCTGAGTCGTCTTGCCACCTATGCCGGGAATCTTTCGTATCGTAAATGAGTCCATGAAGTCCACTGCAGAGCCGTTCTCCAGGGCCAACAGCGTCGTCTGATTCCGCGGTTTCTTCTTGCTCCCTACGAGCTTGCTCAGCAGCTTGTTCGTAGCCACGCCACAAGCAGAGGTGAAGCCGAATTTCTCTTCAATATTAGTACGTAGGTACCAGGCCAAATGTGAGCCCAGAAGGAGCCGCACATAGGCCTGGTTTTCGAGCTGCTGCTCTCCAGCAGTAGGGGGGGTGCCGTGGACGCGGCCCGCCATTTTGGTCAAGTCACAGGGGAAACCTTTCTCTGGGTCTGTTTTTGAAAGGCAGAAAAAGCTGTCAGCCAAAGTCAGCTTGTTGAGGCACGACATGTTGTAGCTGATCATGTCCGTCACGTCTGTTTGCGTCGTCAGCGTCACACTCGTGGCCGCTCTCCGTCGGCCCTCACATACCCATAAAGACCTCGTCCAGTCCCAAGCGTTCGACCTTGCCGCTCCATGAATGGCCCCTGAGGAACGCATAGAGGACTTTGCTCACATCCCGAAACGGGGTCAGATCCTCGCCCTCGACGACGACTAGATCGGGACAGACCTTGCGAGCGTCGGAGATGCGCATGAGTTTCCGCACGCCGCGCGCGCGAGCGACATAGTTGCAGGTGGCGAGAATCGACTTTTGCTTCACGCCGAGGGGCAGGGATTTCAGGGCTGGATTCTGCGATTCGAGAACGGAAGCGTAGAAGCAGTCATAGTCCTAGGGGTGGGTCAGGGTTTTGAATGGCAGAGGCGGGCGTGATGGAGGACATGGGTGGTTAGCATACAAAATGAAGGATGATTCTGTCATCTTTGGGTTTTGGGGGTCTCTTTTTGGGAAAGTCCATTTCGATGGATTCTCTTGTGATGAAGGGAGTGGAAGGAGTGTGACGTGTGAGGTGAGTTGGGTTCGAGGTCCACTGACGAGCTGCTTCAGTGCGCATGTGTTTGCTCACGCCACGCGCTTAGGGAGCTTCTGGCACACGTACCAACACGTATGAGCGAGTCCCAAAGGTGACCGCAAACCGCAAAATCAACACACAAGCAGCTGCACTACAATTGCAAGATCAAAGAAATGACTTCAGGTAGGTAGCCGGCAAACTTAGCCGTTGGCATTGAGTAAGGTACCTAGGACAAAAGCCACCAGCCAAGAGTCATGGAGCGCGACTGCTGCCTGGATACACACCAATCCCGATCGGCCAGATCCTGGCCGATGACTCTATTTACAGGCTGATGCAACGAGACCTGCAATGGCCAGGGTCACTGCTGTTGAAGGAGGCTGTCCGGTACCTATGTAAGTGGACAGCCCATGCACGAAGCCTTCAGATTCACCGTCTGTTCTCAATGCCTCACATTCAGGTCATACACTAAAACCGAGCAGCCATCGTGGAGTTTGACCTACAAAACGGCAGTGCTGCGACTGCGCAACACGCCATCCGGCCAGAGCCGCTTGCTCTCTTCTGTCATGAGCTTCTTCCATCCGGCCTCATCACACGGATCGATAATGACAGCGACAGTGGGTTCTATGGCCCACTCGAAGTGTCCTCACTTGCGACGCGGGCGGCGTCAGCCATCGCCAACATCTCAGATGCCGATGAAAGTCTTCTTCAGGAGACCTTACTCAAGTTCCTGACGCTCGCTCAAAACGATAGCATGCCTGACGCTACACACTCCTGCTGGCTTTGCATCCGCATGACGCTCCCTACACCTGTCTGGACCATTCCCAGATGGCACATGGACGGGCGCATGCTCGACTGCAGCTGTCCCTCGCCCCAGCTTCCACATTCAAAGTATGCCTTCACCATCCTTGGACCATCAACTAGGGCCATGAGTACGAATCCTGCCGTGCACGCCACTCTCATGACGCCCTTGTCAACGGGTCAATGTGCAGACCCGAACGAACCCAACGCTGAGCTCGCAGCAATTCTGGCGAAACACCAAGAAGTCACTGTCGAACCAGGCCAGATTATCCGCTTCAGCTGGGGCCAGCCTGATTCGCCCGTACACTCGGAGCCGGATTCGAGTTCCTCGATGCGCGTCTTCATCAGCATCCTATTAGGAAGAGAGGCAGAGTTGCGGGACATGTGCGACTTTAGAGGGCAAGAGTACGGAGTATGGTATAACAACTAGGGCATGGGAAGGGGGGACTCTCACTCATCGCAAGGCAACCTCTACAACCTTGATGTCTCGCGCTGCGTCTCCGCCGCCACAGCCTGCAAGAAAGCCCGTTCCACATCATGCTCGTGAATCCATACCAGGTCCCTGCGGCTCTGCATTCTCGTCCGCAGCTCCGCATCCGTCTCTTTCTGATCTATCAGGCTGACGAGGGCCCCGTTCCGCTGCTGGACCGTCCTCTGCACTCGGTCAGTGTGTTCCTTCCGCGTCCGCTCGTACAGGCTCAGAGCGCGGGCCACGTCGTCATCAGACACGGGCTTGCAGATTCGCTGCGTCTCCGGGAAAACGTGTAGGACGGCCTGCGCAAACGCCCATGCGTCATCGATCGCCAGACTTCCGCCTGCCGCGAAGGCTCCGCCATGCGCGTGTGCCGCGTCGCCTACCAGAGAAACCCGGCCGCCCCCCAAAACCCACGAGTCCAGCTCCTTGGCCGCCGTGTTAGGGTAGATCTTGGTGTACGGCGTCGCATCGATGACGGCGCGCGCGAGGGGGCTCCAGTCCTTGTACAGGTCGCGCAATGTGTCTACGCTGCCGTCCGAGTTCCACACTGAGTCCTTGTACGGCGCATCGGGTGCCTCCGGGTCGCTTTGCTGGGAGCCAACGATGGTGAAGAGGTCCTGAGCCAAGGGCGACAAGAAGAGGGAGCGATCAGGACCCCAGATGTGGACCGCCTCATCAGGCAGGTCCGAGATGTGTTGCACGTGCGAGCGTGGAAAGACGGAGCGGAAGGTCAGGTAACCTGACCATTTTGCGGCCGACGTTGGCACAAATGCCTGGCGGACAGGGGAGTGGATTCCGTCTGCGCCGAGGAGAATATCTGTCGCGATGCTGGTGCCGTCTGTGAATGTGACAATGAGACCTTGAGAAGAGCTGTCGCGCGATACCGAGGAAAAGGCCTTGCCCAGATGAAGACGTCCTGGTTCTATATGGTTCAGTAGCGCTCGCTGGAGGTGAGGGCGATAGAAGCGAGCTGTTCTGTGTCTGTGTTCGACCTTTCCAACATGATGGTCGGCAGACACAGTTTCATTTGTTTGGTAATGCCTTTGGGAGATCAGCATGATGCGCCATACCTCCAAATTCTTGGCTCAGGGGGCCACCTACTGATAGATCATGGGGCGGCCCGACTTATTGCGGAACGCAATAGAATCATCGAGTACGTCGCTGACCCCAAGCCTCTCCAATGTCTTGAGACCATTTGGTCCCAGTGCGATGGTAGCTCCAATCTCACGCAGCTCCGTCGCACGCTCATAGACGTGCACGTCAATGTTGGCATGTTTCTGCAGCGCAATGGCAGCCGTGAGACCGGCAATGCCCGCGCCGATGACGGCGATTTGGAGCTGCACCTGGTCTGTCATACTCTCATGCTTTCGTACATTCGTGTGTCTGCATTTCAGTTACATGGATGTCAATGAAAGCATGCAGCGCCCATCTATATCACATTGAACTCGTGGTGTTACAGCGAGGATTCTCCGACCTTGCCATGACGTGATTGTCTCCATTATCGTCGCGATCTGTCCCAACCACGAGGTTGTCGGCGCCACATGTCGGATCACCCCCGACTCCCTTGACCAAAGTCCGTTGAAAGATAAACGTCGGCCGAAGTTCCGACTTGGCGGCTGCCGGTCCTGAGTCGAGCGAGTCGAGCAGAGGCAAGGTAGGATGCAGCACAGCAGCACGTGAACTCCGGAAGCCCAATAAGGGGGTATGAAACTGGCATCTGGTTCGGGCAAGGGCCAATGGCATGTCGAAATGACCGGAGCGTGCTTCAAAGCAGTCCATACATCGGGTCTGCGAGTCCATGGCGTCCACTCAATGGTCCCCCAAACTATCGAGCTTCCGGCGACGAGCTACCATGTATCATACCCACCGAGATCCCAGGAGACGGAGGCGAGTTGTCGGATATCGCAAAATGAGCCCAGAAAAGAGGTGCAGACATCCATGACGACAGGCCGATCGGGGCGCACGCAATACAGAATCTTCAATTCTAGAGCGGCAGTTATGTGAAGCAGGAATCATGCACGAGGCATGGTTTGATCGCTTCGGACCCGTCTGCTCTTAAGCCTACCCTGGCCCGGCCCATCTCACCTTTGTCTTGTTCAGTGCATCGATAGTCTGACAGACAAAGAAGCCTTGCTTCGACAATCGACAAGATGATCGAGTCGACAGTGCCGAGGAAACAGTGGTGGAAGATCCAGTGGTACTCCGATGATGATACCCCTGAAGAGCGCAAGTTCATCATCAAGCTGGACCTGCTGGTCGTCCCCTATGCGGTCCTAGCCTATTGGGTCAAGTACATTGATCAGGCCAACCTGAGTGAGTGCCTCCTATACTCGAGTTTAGAGAGAACGACTTGCTCACGCGCCGTCGACAGACAATGCCTACGTCGCCGGCATGAAAGAGGATCTTGGTTTCTTTGGAAACGAGCTTGTGCAGCTGCAGACCATGTATACTGTGGGAGCAGTTGTCGGCATGATCCCCTTTATGTTCCTTTTCACTTACATCCCGATGTACTGGACCATCCCTGCCATGGATATCATGTGGGGTGTTTTCACCCTGTTGCAATACCGGGCAACGTCGTTTGGAGAGATGGCCGCGTATAGGTTTTTCGTCGGATTCTTCGAGGTAGGCTGAAGGTCGCTTGTGTTCTCGCTGCAGTGTCAGACTGATCAAGTCGCAAACAGGCGGCATTCTTCCCGGCCATGCATTACGTCTTTGGTAGGTCCTCATGGTCGTAACTGGCGCCGTCAAACCACTAACACCACCTGCAGGATCCTGGTACCGTGGCCACGAAATTGCCCGTCGTGGAGGACTGTTCTACACAGGTCTCAACCTGGGCACGTTGACCGCGGGATTAGTGGCCGCGGGAGCATCGGCACGCCTCGAAGGTGTCAACGGCCTCGCCGGCTGGCGATGGATGTACATCATCTGCGCGCTGATTACCTTTCCGGTCGGGATACTTGGCTACTTTCTCCTCCCAGGCACGATCGACCAGCCCAACCGATGGGTTCTCAACGACAAGGACATTGAAGTCGCCAAGAAGAGGCTTGAGAGGGCCGGCCACGTCACGCACGGCACCTTCAAATTCGGACACCTCAAGAAGATCTTCCTCAGCCCCCAGTTCTGGACCGTCATCCTGGTCGACGTCCTCTTCTGGAACGCGGGCATCCACAAGAGCACGGGGAGCTTCCTGCTCTGGATCAAGAGCCTGCAGAGGTACTCGCCCGCCAAGATCAACGAGCTCGGCACCATCGCCCCGGCGCTGGGCATCCTGTACAACCTCGTGGCGTGCTTCGCATCCGACCTGATCCTCGGGCCGGCGTGGGCCATCACTTTTGCTTCGGGCTTCAACGCTGTCGGGCTGATCATCTTGGTGGTCTGGAAAGTCCCCGAGGCGGCGCTGTGGTTCGCCTTTTCGACCATGTACTGGTCAAACGCCCTGTCGAGCGTGTTCCACGGCTGGGTCAACACCCTGCTGCGCGACTCGCCGGAGGAGAGATCCTTCACGCTGGTCATGATCACCATCATCGCGCAGTCATCGACGGCGTGGACGCCGCTGCTGACGTTCCCGACGGTAGAGGCACCGCGATACCCCAAGGGGTTCGGTTTCTGTCTCGGATGTGCGCTTGCGCTGATCGCGTCGACGCATGTGCTCAACATGTACATCAAGCGCAAAAGGTGAGCGGAAATCCCCATTTCTGCATCTGCTGAGATCGACGTCCCTTTGCTGACCGTGCTTCGAACAGTGCCGGCAAGGATCTTGCTGCGACTGAAGAGGCTGCTGTGCAGAGCGACGCGTCGTCGACGGATGGCGTCAACGATGCCAAGGTTGCTCAGGGGCCTGATGCAAAGGTCAACGTTCGGGTCAACGAATCGGCATCAGGGTGATGATGGCAGCCAAGATTATTCGGGTTCTTCAAAATTGAGAGACTTGGTCAAATCAATGCAAGTTCACAGAACATGGTTTTCATCATATTCATTGCTAAGAATGGATTTCCGTTATCCCTTACAGACCTAGACTGAAGGACTGAACGCTCAAGCTAGCCGGTACCCTGCCTTGACCACCTCATCTGCGGACACAGAAGCATAGAAACCCCGCATAGGCCCTTCCACCACCTGATACTGAAAGAACCCAGCGACTCGCCCCTGTTCATCCCACGTAGCGGAGCCACACGTACCGTAAGGGATGATCAGATCTGTACGAGGCGGCTCAATCTGCCCAATGTAGACCCAATCGTAGATAACGTAGCGCAACTGAGCCTTACTCAGATGGGTCGTCTCACTGTCGTTTCTGTGCATCTTCCAACCCTTAGCCATCATGAGGCCCTCCATTGCACCCGTTTGGGGGCTGTTGAGAAAAACTCTGTCCGCTATGTCGATTTTGTCGTCCATGTCCTCTCCGAGCAGCCTGGTGAATGGTGGGACTGTCTCACCCTGTTGTTCGAAAGGTTCATTGACAAACTGAACCCCAGGCTGAAGTTCTACAAGCGAGATATTTGTGAAGCTAAGCTCCTCCACAGCCCTGCCGAGTAGCCGCTTGTCGCCAGACGGCAAAGTCTGGTGAAACGTCTCCGACTCGCCGATCCCGTGAGAGGCGCCGGTCATGAACTTGTCACCCGCGTCGTTTCTGACTAGGACTCCAGACGAGGTAGTGAGGATTTCTCCGTTGCGAGAGTCGTTGGATGTAAGACTGGAGATTAGGACACCAGGGCGAATGACATTATAGGCTGTATCGTCCACAATCCCGTGTCCGGGATTAGGCATCACTTGCCGTAGTAGGGCTTGGCGATTGCCGGGGCTTGGGCGGCGGAGATCCGTCTCGAACAAGTACATCGTCCAGCACTTCGCGATGCGCCCAGGCAGTCGAGCCCAGACTGAATTGATATCGACTCCGTCTTCAAGTACAACGTGGAAACGTCTTTCTGCGTCGAGGATGAATTCCAGCACGGCAAGTCCCGGGACGCAAGTGAGAATTGCGCGAGTGACAGATTCCGCAAGGCTGCGAAATGCCTGGGACTCGAGAGGCATGAACCTTGCATCAGTGTCGTCACAGATTCGAATGCTCATGTTGCCAGCCATTGTCATGGGGAACATGGTACCTTTACCATTGCCCTCATTGTCGCCGATGGTAATAGGTAGTCCGGCAATGGTGAGTGGCCAAGGTGCTTCTGGTAACTTTTTTACTGTGAAGTGGAGGTAGTGCCGATTGCCTCCCTCGAGAACGTCCACAGTGTCAGGAAAGATGTTGTATAGCACTCGGAGAACGTTGTTGTCGAACTTGACATTGCGATCACGGAGATCGAATGGAAGCTTCAGATGACGTTTATGCCATGAAGGCGCGGGGTATGTCGGTGGAGACTTGGCTTGCGAGGAAAGAAGTCGGGGAGAGTCCGGCTCATCGTTCAACGAGGGCGTGGCGAGAGACCTGCCTTTTGACGGTTGGGCGCTGCCTGGGTTTATTTCTCGCTTCCTGGGCGACGGCGTCGAGGGATTGACAATTTCTTGCCCTTTGGCTTCGGGCGACGACCGCTCAGCCATAATTGTAGTGTTACGAATGTTGGTCGTTTGTTACGAAAATATAACATTCATGAGCTTGACTTTTTTTGAAGATGGTTTTTGGCCCTGCCAATGATGCCTTAATTGCTGCGTCCAAAGTCTTGTTGATGCGTCTGTCAAGGCTGTGATGGTTGTCACATTCAAGGCTGTGATGGTTGTCCCCGGAGAAGGTTGGTAGTCTTTATCATTAAGTAGGTAGGCGCAAGGGGGGCAATAACACTTTCCAAACGAAGTTGCCCAAGGTACCTGCCTATCCAGGTGGCTAAGGTTAATACGGTAGGTACCCAGAGGAATAAAATTGTGTAATAGGGCGCGTAGTTCTGGTTAGGACTATTGGAAGCGGGACAAAGTTCTTGCCATGAACGCTATACACCAGTCTCACCTCACCGGCTAATTTTGTTTTCTTGCGAGCCCTGGATTATGTAGGGTACCTAGGCTATACTTTCTGTCATGTTTTTGGGAGTCTTGAGAGCAGAAGATTTACCTTACCTTGAGGGCACGGAACAGGTCATCTTGAAAACGGCTGCCTAGACGTCCTGGAGTTCCCTTGGCCACCTGATCAAGCTTTTCCAAGCCCTGGGTATCTCCGATAGCTTGTGTTGACTAGGTATATATAGGCATGGCAGGGTAGGTAAATTTGTGATGGACACGCGACTGTTGATGACTGTTTTATCCTGAGAGACAAGCTAATCACGTGCAAGACGTGCTCTCGCCTACCTCCCGCCACCTCAGTTTACTGGGCCTCGCCGCCATCACTTTCGGCAACACTGTCCTCAATTCCATTAACATTGACGGCAACTCCTGCTTGATAGCAACCATCTTGTCCGCCGGGCAACATGTGCGCAGCTACGACGAAAAGCTCTCGCTGGGCTTCTCCTCGCCATAACGTTACACAATTTCCCATCACCAATGCTGACGGGACAATCCTTCCCGTGGCAATACAGGCTAACATGACCGCTGAGCAGCTTGACGCTTACGTGACTCATTTTCGAATTCGAGAAATTACTCACCAACTAACCCTGCCTGACGTCCTGGTAGCAAGGACCGAACCAGGCTGGCACCGGGCGCTCTCGCCCGCTCCAGAATACGACGCAGCGGGCCGTCGCACGAATACACGCCTCCAGCGGCGTCGTCGAGCCCTTGAAGCAGAACGGCACCGCTGCATAGAGGAAGCCGTCGCCAAGATTCCGTCGTATCAACTACCGCGTGACTACCGCCGTCCAGCGGGTTTCACTGACCGCGTTTACATCCCGCAAGCCGACTTTCCGGCCGTCAACTTCATCGGGCAGATCCTTGGGCCCAGAGGGGCCACCCTCAAGGCCATGCAAGAGCGTGCCGGAGCGACTCTGGCCATTCGAGGCAAAGGGTCTGTCAAGGAAGGGCGGGGCAGGTCAAAGCCGAGAGGGGGTGCTTCTGACGATTCGAGCCAGCCACTCCACGTTCTCGTTACCGCAACCACACAGCGGAAAGTGGACGAAGGGAAGAGACTGATCCAGGAGGTCATTGACAATGCAGTATCTACACCCGAGTGGCTGAATGAGCATAAGAAGCAGCAACTGCGGGACCTGGCCATGGCGAACGGCACCTTTCGCGATGACGAAGGCCGCGCCGATGCGAGAGCACAAGGCCAGGTCTCTCTACATCCTGCCACAAGCCTTGTGAAGGTGGAAAGCAGCCTTGATGCTGAGTTCGAAGACGAATATGCTAGGCTGATGGAGGACATTCTTGGTCTCAGGGAAGGGTACACTGACACACAGGAGCGGAGCATGGTGACTTTGCCACCCTGGAGGGTGGACCGACTTCGCGCGAAGACAACTTGAGATTGCTGACTGGTAGTGCTAACATGAAGCAGGTTTACCGTGTAAATTTGGCCGTTTTGTGGTTGACGTACTGACTTGACCACAGTAGTGCAAGGCTTGCCATACGCACTTTACCTCGTGATGAATTTGATTGAGACCAAACAATGACGTTTTGATTTTGTCGCCGGTGTTTGTCCGACTCTGTACGATGCCTGTGCACTATCGGTAGACGTCATGAAGGCTCCTGTAGTCAGGCTTGACAACACGAGCTCGGGACGTTGGTGGTATTTATGCGACTCCGGCAGCAGCTGCCAGTAGGAGAGACTTCGAGGACAGGCTATTAATGGAAACACGAGTGCCCGTCGCGTTGAGAAAAAGTCCTGAGATGGTGCTGTGCTGTGATGCATACATACCTAGCAGTCCTCGCTACCTACCTACCTTAGGTACCTACCTTAGGTACCTACCTTAGGTACCTACCTTAGGTACCTAACCTTAGGTAGGTAGATAGGGTGAAGCCTCGACTCGAGGGAGACACGACAGCCCTGTGCGTGCGTGACAAGACATGGAGCGGAGCAAGTGCTGTCGGAAGCGACTGGCACAACGTAGGCAGATATCGTCACCCTGGTCGTCACGGTTGACGTACTCGCAGTGGCTCTTTCTTCGTCACGGCATAATAATGGGGGAGGAACTATTGGGAGACGCAGCATTCTGACCAGGTGGGGGCAAGGGCGGCTAGCGCCCAGCGCCCCAGGGGCCATCGGCCAGCGACCAGGGGCCATCGACCATTCGGCCACCGGCGGTTGGAACAGTTGGACGCCGCGGCTCTGGCGTCTTTGGCGGGAAAGAGCCCCACCTGGGTCCAGCAGGAGGAGATCCTTCAGCTCCCCTCTCGCATCCTCGCATCCTCGCATCCTCGCATCCTCCAATTTTCCCATTCTCCCCCCATCCCTGGCGCGGCATGGCACAGTAGGATCGTCTCATTTCTTTCACCACTCTGTCTTGGATCACGGACCCGAGGGCTTGGACAGCCGATGCTGAACGACGAGCCATCAAACTTACTTTCCGATCCTTTCTCTGCCCTCGCCACAATGCTCCATTCGCTCGGGTAAGGCCCTACCTCCCTGACTCGACACCCCAGCACAGTCGACAGCCAACTCTCGCGAGACTTGATCCATCATGTCTATCCTGCCCATCGTGACCATCAAGATCTCGCCGACTTCTCTTGATCACGAGCGACGACGGACATGAATCCTTCGAGATGCGGTGAAGCCAGCAAAGCCAAAAAAAAAAAAAAATGTCAGTCAAAGGCTTCTTAGACGCCGCATACCAGCCTCTGTTGTCGACTCGATAATCCCCGCATCCCAGCGATTGGGCGGCACAGAGCCATGTCAGCAGGGTTCAGGGGCCCATTCGGCGCTTGCGCCTCGATTCCCTCGACTTCGCGAGGCTCGAAATAGCCAACCATGCCTCGAATCGCCCCTCCTTCGTCTGTGCTCATGCGAGCCACGGAACCATGACCACCAGGACAGTGTCTTCCGTTTCGTTTGTTTCCCAGACCCGCCCGCGTCTATCTGTCTCCAGACCCTGTGCGATGCCTCTTGTCACACTGCATGCATATGCGGGCTGGCAACGCAGCGCTTCAAGGCCAGGCCCCGGCCTGGCATGGGAAGGCCTCGCTCCCTCAGTTGCTTACCACCATGTTGGGCCTGTGTTTCTCGTCACGTTCATATATGAACTATAGCCGCCGTCCCTCCTCACCCCACCGCTCTCATATTACTTTCTCGTCTGTCCGAACCAACGCAACCCACGCACACACATTTGTCAGGCCTGAGTGGCGACGTGCCTGTTGCACCTTGCCTCGTCTGCCTGTCCAGGTCTCAAGACAGAGAGGCAGCCATCAGTCAAAGTTGCTTGTCGTGCTCTATACATCGTCTAACAGCAGCTCACGAGGTCAAATTAAGTGCACAGAGCAGGAGCCATGTCGACACCGATGGCGCCCGCCTCGCGGAGGCCGAAACTCTCCCTCAGCATCAAGCCTACCACAGGCCCCAAGCCGAGATCGTCCAAGACGCTCACCGTCGTGGATCCCAAGTCTCCAACGGCCTTCAACACACTGTCCAATGTCTATGTCACCGCCATCGAGCGCTCGACTCCCGTCACTGCCATCAACACTCATCAGACACCCCAGCTCCACATTCACACCGGCATGAGTGACCTCAAGGGTCACCAGCGACGTATCCAAACCCCGTATGCTGCTTCCTATCCCGAGACACCCCTGACGGCGAATCCCTCTTCGCCATCTGCCATGGAGGCCTTCTTCCCCAGCATCATGACGGCGACGCCCCCGCTATCGGCTGGGCCCGTCGAGCCCACTGACCCCAAGGTCTTCACCTTTGGAACGACAGAGGCGCCGAGTCTCTCCATCATCTCAATCACCACACAGATCGAGCCGCGGACGCCCCGGAGGCGAGCCACGCTCTCCGGCTCATCCGCACCATGGCTCAAGCCTCCTTACTCGCACCCTCGGTCCCTTCACAGCATTCTCCGAAACTCACCATTGCCACCTCCCACGGCACAAACCCCAATGTCGCCTAGGCGGCAGTCTCTTCGGCTCCAAGAGAAAGCTGCTCGCCGTGTGGCCTACAACAGCCCCATTGAACAGACCATTATCACGAACAAGTACACCAAGTCGCACATTGACCTGCTCATCGATGACATTTCGCCTCGGTCCCCCGCCCTCCCCGGCCAGGATCCAGACACGGTTCTCGACCTTGCCCTCGCCTTCACAAGCGACGAGACGCGCGACGGAGGCCAGACGCCAGGACCTTTTGAGGAGATGCGCCGGCGCATGGCCGGACTCGTAGCCACAACACCGACAGCACTGTCGCCGTCTGGACCTGGAGGTGTCCGTAAGCGGAGAAAGAAGGAGAAAAAACGGCGATGGGTGTGGACGATAGGGCAGGGCGAGGACGGCGACGAGGAAGTGGGCGGTGCCATGGCGGCAATGAGGGCCGTGGAGGCCAAGGCCGCCTCGGAGCCGCCGCCGCCGATCACGATACCGTCGCGGGGGGTGCAGTGTCTGATGGAGGATCTGCCGACGCCCAGCGTGGAGACATTTGATGAGTGCGAGGACGTCGAGATGGCCGACTCGAGCAGTGCCGTGTCAGACAGTCGAGGCGTGACACCCGGTGATGGAGATCTGGACCTGAAGACGCCGACGTTGACGAGAAAGGGTGGCGAGGGGGTGGTAGCCAGGAGGAGCGTCGACCGGCTCGGGTCGGTGGACCTGTTCAACCCAGAGACAGGCAGCCGGAGGGATACGCCGGTGCCGCCGGACATGATGGTCACATGAGGACGCGCGGGAACTGCAAGAGTAAAAGGCGACATGGTATCTGTAATCTGGTGGTGTATTATTATCAAGAGCGGTTGGGATATCCATAATGATTGAATGATGACTATGAATTTGGAACCAAAGCTGTTGCGCTCCTTGTCTTGCGTCCGCGACACTCTTCGCGTCGAAGGTATGCTGTTCTGTAGTCAAGTGAATTATGAGCACTTGTATCGTCTTGTGGGAAGGCTCTTGTTTGAGAGAACCACTCGTCGCTGACCAGTGCTTGAATGAACACATTAGCCTCCGACTTTATTATTGGATTGAACTTTGTGCCAAGAGGGGAAAAGGAAGGGGAAAAAATGATGGGTCAGATCACGACGGGCACCTGACGTGTTGCTCCGAGGCTGCTTGAATCTGACAGCGTCTGAAGCGTCAGCCCGGGTCGGTGGTCGGTCAAGAAGGAAGCCCGGCTCGAACATGCTCACGACTCTCCATCACCTGCAAATTGTGATCACACATGCATGGCCGCATGGCTCCAAAAGCTTGTGCAACCGATACTGACCCGAGGAGGACGTAACCTGAACGAGTCTCAGTGTTGACCCACGTTGCCAGACGTTGGTCGCTCGAGAGCGCCACACGTAAGCGGTCATGACGACCAGCCGCCTACGCAAGCCCACAAGCCACGAAACAAGGCCCCGCGGCCGCAGATCAGGAAAGCTCGCACTGCGTAACCTGCAAAGGTGGCACCTTGGTACCTAACTACCTTGGAACGGGAAGGCAATGTCTGCGGTGTGTGGGGAGGGAAAGCAGCTGAAAAGAACCTAGGAAGACGAGAGGAAGACGAGAGGGAGGGAGGATTGGGAATCGGGCAACGGCAGGGATTGGGTGAGGCGCTACGGAGCATCGTCTAGCGCTGTCAATCCGACCGGTCTAGCGCGTGCCAGCTGCTACACTCCCCGCCCCCCTTTTGCACTCCCCCTTTTGCGTCGAGCGACAGGCTTGTGCAGAGGACTTTGGAGGGGGGCTGCTTTCAGGGCGCGCCGACGCCGCAAGGGCCGACATGACCTGGTACCGGGGACATTGAGGCTGCTAGGGCCGAGACCACGACCCCACCAGGGAGCTGCAGTGTGAGGTTGGACGGGAGCTCGCCAACGACGTCATTACTGCACTGTCGCCGCCCGCCAAACGCACCAACGCATGTGTAATGATGGCAATCCTGGACTGGGATCCGGGAAAACGAAAACAAGCTACTGCTTGGTTCTGCGGCGGGGGGGGGAGACGCCTTGATCATCGATCCCATCGAGACGGGAGATGCAAACGCACCAAGATGAGCGACCGCTAAAAACAGGAGCAGCAGCAAAGCAGGAGCAGCAGCAAAGCAGGAGTAGCAGCAAAGCAGGAGCAGAGACACAGGCAGGAGCATACGCCCAACTAAGCCTTCCCTCCCCCTCCCGGACCTATTCCTCCTCTTCTCTTCTCGTATGCCGACTTATTTGTTCTTCTTTTAACATCCTATTCCCCTTCCAGGTTTATCAACCTGTGTCGTCCGCTTTTCTCTTCTCTCTCTCTCCTCCTCTGGACACCCCATCTGCCGGCCCCTCGATCGTGTCGTGTCGTATGAATGAGCCGAGGCCATTGACATCGCCGCCATGGAACACGAACCACCTGTTGGCGGCCAGCACTACAGCGGCCGGAACAGGATCCCCAACATCCAGGAGTTTGTCGCCCAGCTTGACAAGGAAAAGGCTGAGCGCGATGCTGCCATTGATGCCGAGCTCAAGAACAACAAGGCGAAGGGTGAGACGCAGGACCATGTGCCCGAGAAGAAGCACCGCCTACATAAGAACAAGAAGACCAAGACTGTTCGCGACCCCGTCACCGGGAAAGATGTAGAGATCGAGGACGCCAAGACGGACTTTAAAGAGGCCGTTGAAACCCCCAAGGTGCGTTTCCTCCGCCGCGACCCCAAGACCCTCTGACGTCATCGTAACACTTGCAACAGATTTCCATTCCCAACGAAAACCTCGGCAAAGAAGCCACCGTCGCGACCTCCTCAGACCAGTCGGGCGAGGAGTACCGTCGTGCCCAGGACATCACGGCCCCGCCGGATCCCGTCGAGCCGGGAAGCACCTCCGACGTGCCGATTCACAGCGAGAAGACCAATGTCCTCTTCTACAAGACTCCCAGTGTCAGCTATGAGCCCATGTTCGACGCCCTCGAGGCCCGCGCCAATGTCATGTGCGCCGCCATCTTCTTCGGCATCATCTTCATTGGCAAGTTCTTCGGCGGCAGCCTCTGGGGGCTGATGCCCCTGTCTGTTTGCATTGCGAGCGGTGTCTACCTCTGGTGCCGCGAGCTCATTCAGCAGGGACGCAACGTGGAGTGGTCGAGCGAGAAGGAGCGCGGTGAGACGGCCACCGTCAACCTTGTGCCTGAGTCTGTTGAGGTGAGTTGGGGGCGCCCCTTGCTTTCTTTTGGTATTCACCTGACAGTCCTGACAATCCTGACAAACTGCAGTGGATGAACACAGCCCTGGGCATCATGTGGGGTCTCATCAACCCCGAAATGTTCGCCGGTGTTGCCGACACGCTCGAGGACGTCATGGTGGCCTCTATTCCCGGCATTGTCGAGAATGTTCGTGTTGCCGATATCTCTCAGGGATCGAACCCCATTCGCATCCTCAGCCTGCGCGCCCTGCCCGACGACCACATGAAGGACGTCAAGGAGGAGACGCGCAAGCAGACCGAGAAGAACACCGACCCCAACGAGCTCGCCGCCATGGAGCAGGCTGGCTCCTACTACAACCTCGAGGCGTCCATCGCCTATCACGCGAAGCCGTCCGGCGGTGACATCTCGTCCAAGGCCCGCAACATGGGTATGCAGCTTGTCTTCTACCTCGGTGTCCGTGGCCTTATCGGCATCCCGCTGCCCATCTGGGTCGAGCTGCAGGGCCTCGTGGCAACGGCACGAATCCGCCTCCAGCTCGTACCTGAGCCGCCTTTCCTCAAGACCTTGACGTTCACGCTCATGGGCATCCCCAAGGTGCAAGCCGGCTGCACGCCCATGATTGAAAAGGGCGTCAACATTCTGAACCTCCCCATCATTTCCAACTTTGTCAACTGGGCCATTGGTGCTGCGGCGTCCATGTACGTCGCGCCCAAGAGCATGACCCTTGACATGAGCAAGATGATCCAGGGCGACGACATCAAAAAGGAGACCCAGGCCCTCGGCGTCCTCTTCGTCCGTATCCACCGCGCCACCGGCCTCAGCAAGCAGGACAGACGTGGCAGCGACGGTGGCGGATCGGACCCGTACATCACCATTGCCTGGAGCAAGTTTGGCAAGCCCCAGTTCTGCACGCGTGTCATTCAAGACGACCTCAACCCCATCTTTGAGGAGAGCTGTGGGCTTCTCGTCACGGCCGATCTCATCAAGGCCGACGAGCAGCTCTCTGTCGAGCTCTGGGACAGCGACCGCGCTTCGGCCGACGATGTCGTCGGCAAGGTCGAACTCAGCATCCAGAAGCTCATCCAGCACCCCGGCAAGATGTTCCCGCAGGTCTCGAAACTGCGCGGCGTCAAGGCCGAGAGTGAGATGCCCGGCGAACTCGTATGGGAGGTCGGCTACTTTGGCAAGACGCAGTTTCGCAAGGCGCTCCGCACTGACGGCCGCGACGTCAACCTGCCCAAGGAGCTCAAGGACAAGAAGGAGCTGCAGGACGACAAGGGCGCCATCGACACGGCCGAGGAAGACTCGGTCGTGCACACGCCCCCCGACCCGCTGTGGCCCTCGGGCATCCTCAGCATCGTCGTGCACCAGATTGTCGGTCTCGAGCTCGCCAACATTACGGGCTCCCAGGGCAACCGCAAGGGCCGCGAGTTCGAGCCCGCGCGTCCCGAGGCCGGCGAGGTCAAGGAAGAGTCGGGCAAGAAGTTGCCGAGCTCGTACTGCACCATTCTCATCAACGACGAGCTGGCGTACAAGACACGCACCAAGGTCGTGTCGTCGCATCCCATCTTCAACGCCGGTACCGAGCGCTTCGTGCGCGACTGGAAGTCCTGCATCGTCACGGTTGCCGTCCGCGACTCGCGCAACAGGCAGCACGACCCCATCATTGGCGTCGTGCCGCTCAAGGTGTCGGACATTCTCCAGACGGGCAGCGAGGCCACGCGCTGGTACCCTCTCGACGGCGGCATCGGCTTCGGCCGGATCCGCATCTCGCTGCTGTTCCGGTCGTGCGAGCTCAGGCTGCCGCCGAGCCAGATGGGCTGGGACATTGGCACGTTTGAGTTCCTGGGCAACAACATCAAGGCCGAGCGCTACGGCCGGTCCAAGACCAAGGTGCGTCTCCGGACCGGTGGCAGCTCGGCGTCGATCAAGCGCGACGCGTGCACGAAGCACACGGAGGGCGAAGGCATGGACTGGGACATTAGCGGCGAGAACAAGCACGACAAGATCCGGCTGCCGGTGCGGTACCGCTACCGGTCGCCCATCTTTTTCGAGTTCTACCCGGCCGGCAAGCGGCACCCCGACGCGTATGCATCGCTGTGGCTGCAGGAGCTGGTGGACCTCGAGGAGCACGACTTTGACCTGCCGATCTGGAAGTGCGACAACGGCACGCGTCTCGCGCAGAACTTTATCACGCAGGACAACTTCAAGGACGTGCCGGTGCTCAAGGTGGAGGAGGTGGGCCGGCTGCGATTCCGGGGCCGGTTCTCGGCGGGCACGGACCGGGACCACATCAAGTTTGTGTCGGACAACAACTCGCGCGAGACGATCGAGACGTGGGAGGCGTGCTTCGCCGAGGGCGTACGGCAGGAGGAGGTGCACAGCGAGGTGCCGCCGGCGATCCAGAAGCTGCACGACGAGTCGCTGACGCACGGGCGCGACGTGCTCGCGCAGGCGGACGAGAAGGAGAAGGAAAAGTGGCTGGCGAAGGACGGCACGGACTGGACGGGGGCGTTCGGGACGGACCCCAAGGACATGATGGACGGCAGCCAGGTGGACCTCAACAATGACGAGAACCACGACGACGTTAGCAACTCGGACTCGGACTCGGACGACAGCAACCCCGACCTCGGCATCTCGGACGGCGAGACGCTGTCGAGAGGGGGCTCGCACGAGGGCGGCGTCACGTCGGGCGCGAGCGACCCGCGGCCGTCGTCGGCGGGCACGCGGCCGTCGGGCGACACGACGCGGACGACGGACAGCCAGCTGCACGAGCGGGCGTCGAAGAGCAACAGCCCGCTGGACGCGTACAAGGAGTACAAGGACCACAGCCGCGACCTGCACCGCAAGCACCGGGGCCTGATGCAGTGGCGGCCGGTGAGGAACATGCAGTTTGCTAAGAACGAGGCGCTGTTCGCCATGAGAAAGGTGAAGAAGCTGGGGGCGCTCGACGGCCGGAAGCCCGATGTCGAGACGGAGGTGTAGCGAGGGCAATTTGCGAGCGGTGAGAAGGGAGTGACTAGGGTGTTTGTATTGGTAGGAACTATCATGAGCAATGATGTACCATGTACGCATACGCACTATGAAGCATGCCTGTTGTATGATGAGGGAGCCGGGGACGAGTTGAGGTGAGGACAGTGCGAAGTGTGCAGAGACTAAACACACTGTATGGGCCCTTATCGGGGCGGGGTGGTGCGATAAGGATTTTTCTCAGAGGAAAAAAATTGGGAGGCACGACCCAGGCCCAAGACGCAGCAGGATCGAGACGCTCACCGAGACGACGTCCGCCCATTCTACCATTCTCGAGTCGAGCCGGTCCAGACGAGACAAGACTCCCCTCCACAACCAACATCCCTCTGCCCAACGTCCCGAGTCCCGAGTCCCGAGTCCTGCGTCGCATGTCCAAGACGCCGCCTCGTCGACTGCACACGCTGGACCCAACATAAAAAGAAAATCCATCGATACATACCCAGCATGGCCAGCACCATGGCTACCCCGACGCTCGACGACAAGCTCGACAAGATCCGCTCGCCGGGTCTGCAGAGCCAGCAGAGGGTATGTGTGGCCTCGAGCCCAACATCGCCCCACAATGTCAACATCGCCAACAGGTCAACATCTGCTAACAGCCCACACAGAGAGTCGTCGTCCTCCAAGCCGTCGATGCGACCCTCAAGGAACAGAACACCCCCCCATCACCCACAGGCTACTTCGCCGCCCTGCTGGGGCTCCTCAGCCAGTCCATCGAGAGCGGCAGCATCAGCTCGGAGACGACCTCGTCCGTCGTCTACCTCCTCGACGTCGTCACCCCCTACGCACCGCAGCCTCTGCTGCGCGCCAAGTTCACCCAGATCCTCACCCTGCTCGCCCCCATCCTGCTGCTCCAGGATGCCGAGGCCATGCTGCTGCGCGCCTCCATCGGCTGCCTCGAGTCGCTGCTGCTGGCCCAGGACCTCCCTGCCTGGGATCTCGGCGTCACCCAGATCGGCCCCCGCCGTGCCGTCGCCGGCCTGCTGAACCTCGCCCAAGACGCCAAGCCCAAGATCCGCAAGCGCGCCCAGGACGCCCTCAAAAAGGTCCTCACCAACCCGCCGCCGAGCCCCTCCCTCGACCACCCGGCCGCCGACATGTGCGCCCACACGGCCCTCGCCACCCTCGAGGACCTCGCCGCCAAGGCCGCCCAGGCCCGCAAGACCCAGAAGAAGGCCACCTCGGCCGAGTCCCAGCACGACCCGGCCCTGCTCCACGCCCTGCAGCTCGTCAAGACGATCGCCTCGGCGAGCGGCGGCTGGCCCAGCAACAAGATTGAGAGCCTCTGCGAGCTGCTCCTCGCCATTGCCCGCACCGGCGGCGAATACATGACCGTCGCCACCTTTGACATTTTTGAGATGATCTTTGCCGGCATGGCCGCCGACGACGCCGCCGCCTCCTCCAAGCTGCCGCGCCTCATCGAGATCATCTCCGAGCTGCGCCCGGCCGCCAACGACACCCAGCTCATCCCCCCCTGGCTCGCCATCCTGTCGCGCGGCTACGACGTCTCGGCCCAGCTCGAGCCCGAGGACACCTTCCAGAACCTGCCCGACCTGTTCACCATGGTCCTCGCCTTCCTCGAGTCCCCCTCCCACAACATCCGCATCTCGCCTCCGAGTGCTCGTCTCCTTCTCGCAACTGCGTCCCCGC